GGGTAGTCCCAGGTTCTGTAGGGGATACGGACGAAGAATCAGGCTCAGTTGGGACCGTTGGGTCAATTGGCGGAGGTGGCTGGGCATTGGATGAGCGCCGTTCTGAAGATGGGCCAGCCTGAGGTTCTTCCCAAAGTTGCATCGCAGCTTCGTCCATTTCAACATCTTCGCTTCCAGCAGAAGAGCCCTCTCCTTGAGCAGCAAAAGAACTCTCCTCTTGAGCATGCTCATCGTCTGAAACCTCGGGCTCGCTTCGAGGCTTACTCTCGGGAACATCGCGAGAACTGACCTTGGGCAGCGCACCGGGATCCACTGGGTCGCTTTTACGACCAAATAGAGTGCCTAGGAGCTGGGTCCAAGTCGGTGGTTCTTCTGTCTCTATACCTACAGCAACATGTTAGTCAGAGTCTGGAGGTACATATGCCAATGCTTACCACTCTTGATGAGATCCTCGATATGTTTCTTCTGCAGAGGGGTGTCTCCAAGAAGATACTGAGAAGACCCAGTTGTAAAAGTCCGACGAGAGTCCGCTAGATCCTGGAACGTGACGGTGAAGTTCTCACCAAAGCCAGGGAAACTGTAGACTTGATCTTCGGATGTGTCCATGCTTTCAGTCATGTCTGGGGCCATAGTTGTGGTTTCAGGCTGGACCTCGCGATGCACTTCTCGTTGAACTCTGGGCAACGCGGATGAAATAGGTGATACCGGAGGCGTAGCAACCCGTACTGAGATCCGTGACTCCTTGGCGGATTCTGGTGCCAGAGGTGAAGGAACAGGCTCGTAGAATCGTCCGGATCTGATTCTCTCAGCTGTTGACTCGCTTTGCAGATGGAGCGGCCAACGGTTAATGTCCCAAAACCGTGGTGCTTTGCCTCTACGGTCTGGATGAGCAAAGGACCAGACTGGCTCACGCCGAAGAGGGGATTGAGTCCGCAGCCCCTTTTCATCCACGCCGCGATCAATACGGTTTGGCAACAGCATACTCTTGTTCTCATAAGCCTCGCGGAGAATTTCCTTTCGAACGGCATCAACAGAAATCCTGTAATTGTGGTCCTGACCTCCGTAAGTGATTTCGGGGTACCCATCCTCACCAAAATCATGTTCGTGATGGCATACACGCATGATTTCCGCATAGTCTGGCTGGGCGAAAGAATGGTCGCCTATGTCGGGTTGGTTGGGGTTATACTCACGCAAGTCTGGTCGTGTTCTAGTATTTGATTCCCATTCGATCACCATTGTGTCGAGGAAATGGCGGTTGCGATCTTGCTCTTCGGGCGTAAGCTGCCTCCTGAATGTCTCCATCCTCGCTCGAAGGTCCTTTATTGTCTTTCCAAGTCGGAAGCAGAGGCGTTGGAAGAACCTGTGGTTTCTGGGCATACCTCTGTCGCTGTCCTCTCGGCCACTCGCAGTCCCAAGCCCTAGCCAACTCCGGAGGTTCTGAATTTTGGGAAGGCCAAACATGTAATTACCAAGATCCTCCGACTCTGGGACGCTGACGTTTGTTGAGATGGTCATAATTTCATCTTCGTCGCCGCTGTCGCCGCTATCATCGCTGTCGTCACCATCATCACCATCGCCATTGTCGGGTTGGCCCCCCGTAGTCGCTTGACCACCTTGCATGTATGCGTCCAGGTCATCATCAGTGTCGAGCCACCGAACACGTTGCTCAGGATGAAGGTCGGGTACAGGACATGATACACCATTATCCTCGTTCAACCTAATCTGTTAGAGAATAGTTCTTGCTATAGGCTGGATATAGGAGACTTACTCAATCACTCCCCTTCTGTCAAGATGTTGCAGCTCTTCCAAGGCCTCCTCATCAGAGAATCTCCAGCGTTTCACTGGCCCATCACATACTTCATTGAGTGATACCATGAAATTCGTAAAGTCGTAAGAGCCGGAACTAGCTGAGCCGCGTGGATACATGATTTCCCTAACTCTTTGCTCGAATATGGAAGAGAGAGGACTGATGCCATTATGGTTGATCTCTGGGTCGATAGTGTTGGAATGGATGGATTCCGTGCCCAATAATCGCAAAAAGTCTTCCTCCAGGGGACGGATATGAGCCAAATCCTGTGAGCCAGACACGAAGTCTTCCCCTTTGAAGTCCAGATCAGTCTCATCCCAAGGCCTGCCCGAGAGTCCTTCAAGTATCACTCGCGTCATGTCGGCCAGGAATGGTCGTGGTGCTCGTTCGTCTTGTAGGAATATACGCCTTAGCAGGGTTTCGCATCTCTTCAGTAACTCCAGAGTCTTCTTCATGTCGTGATCCAGAAAATCGTAAACGAAAGGACCCAACCAGTTCTTGGGCAAATCCATGATGGGCTTTTGGCGCTCCTCCCATTTCTTGTGACCGTAGCATTGTTTGACAGCATACGCATCACCCCATTCTTTCCAGAAACGCTCTGCTTCGAGGTACCATCTATGCGCCACAGTGTACCTGAAAGGGTCGCGAGACTCCTCTTCAGGAAATTCTGCTACTTGTATAGTAGGGAAAAGGACACCTGCGTCTGGCTTCTCTGGGAATTTAGGTGGCGGCAGAATGAGGGTGCGGAAAATGTTGCAGACTGCAAGATTCTCAGAATTGTCCAGTTGGTTCAAGGTCTGTTGAAGGGCTGCTCGTTGACTTCCACGAAGTGTGGCAAACGCCTGAAGAGCACTTTGGCTGAAGTTGTTTCGCTGAGATTCTGACTTGAACTTGGCTTCAGATGCTCTGATTAGTCTGTCGGTTGCTGACATACCCGAAAAGACGCAGTTCTCAAAAGCGTTGTTCTCAATCTGGACCAGCCCATGACGGGAAGATTGGGAATGAGGCGCAGATTCCCAGAAGTTGGAGGTTTCGGATGCGTAAAGGTCGATGTACCTTTCAAGATCATCGCCAGGCAACTCGTAGTGAATATCAATGGCTGGTAGAACCTCGTTGAGGAGCAATCTGCGCTCGCCCAATTCACTTTGTGGCTTCTCGACAGTAGCCTCGACACCAGGAATGGGTGGCAGCCTCTTACTATGTTTTGGCCACACACTATCGAACTTGAGGTTCAACGTGGGCTTCCCATAGTGGTACTGCTCAAACAGCCAGTGTGTATGAAGCATATCAATAGCTTCATGGAGTTCTGCACCCCATTCTTCACCCTGCCAATTGTGAAGTAGGTATGAGAAGTACTCAGTCAGCTCTGCAACCTTTTGACCCCAATTCAGAGTGCGGTCGATATCTTCATCGGCAAGGAAGTTTATCGCACGAGGGAGTAGGATCTCTGGCGGCTCAATCTTCCATCCCTTGTAGGGATATAGATTGAAGTCGTACTTTGGACCACCGCGTGCTTCATTATAGTCTTTCAGCCAAGCTATACTCTCTTCTTGGCGAGTCTGTTCACGTCCGGACTCTTCAGCTGCCGGTTGGTTACTGCCTTGGTCTATAGGTACCGTTCGAGTACTAATCGTGAAACCGGGTATCAAAGGCCTATGGGTAGGGGCAGGCTGGTCTTCCAGATCATCTGCAGGCCCAGCAGGCTCAGAAACCTCAATAGAGGTAGGTGGAATATCACTCGGAGGGCCGGCGGTTTCTGGACCTGCCTGAGTGGAACTGGGTTCGATTCGAGCCCAATGCACCACTCGGCCTTCGGAGCGTGATGTAGTGCGAACTCGCCCGGGCAAGGTAAGGGTGCTAGCCAAGTTTGCTTGAGAGGTTCCTTATACAAGTTAACAGGAAAAATGTATCATAATCCGTATGTTACTTACGCCGTGAAGGCTCGCCGGCCTGCTCGTCTTGAGTCTCAGGCAAGGCGTCCTGCTGTGCCCGACGTAGTGACTGTGGTGGCCGACGACGTGGCCCGGCCCCTGATCCAGCTCTCTTTCTACCGCTCACTAAGTCTTGGACGCATAGTTAGTATATGGAATGCCCTTGAACGAGATTGTTTCATACCATCACGGAGCTTTTTGAGGCCTAGATGGGGATATCTACTGTCAAATAACTTTGTGACAGCAATCAGGCAACTGGACGATCCCTCCATGAAGCCATCCAGTCTTCTACCCAATACCAAGCGCTTCAGTTCAGCTGCGAACTCATTATAGCTCTTGTTTTCTAGAAAGCGATTGTATGCTCGTTGGGCTTCAGGCGGGAGGCGCTCGAAGTCGAAGCGGAAAGTCAAGATAATTATTTCTGAGGCATGTAAGTATGTCTAACACACAAAATCTGAAACCTGCCTTACCCAAGAGGTCCTGGATTCTGTCTGATCGACGAGCCAGGGGTGGACTACTCGCCGAAGCTGGCGCATCTTCCGAAGGGGGGTTACCAGCCAGGTTCAGCCCGGGGATTCGCGAAGGGCTTCCCTCGTCCATAGGCTCCTCCATGATGAGTTGGTAGTAAGTTAATCACGGTATCCGTCTCAAAAAGCTATCTGACAAGTGAACAATGAGTACGAAGGAGATGGTGAGCTTCCAGGCCGGGTTGAAGAAAAGAAAAAAGGAAACCAGAGGAAATGGGAGATGGAATGAAATGAAATGAAAGAAGAAGAGTCTATCTACTCTTCTTTCACCAAGTCAATACAAGCATTGACAGTTCCATGCTCTGCCTAGAATGAACAAAGGAATGCATTCAGGGACAGGCGGCATGGGCATTGACATATTCTATCATCTCATTCACAATAAGTCCAACAAAGAAGTTGGCACGCCCGCTCCACATTGAGCACAGAACTCCCGTCCAGGGAAGCCAAAAATACACCCACTAGGACAAAATTGTGTCTGGGATGTAATCACGCTGGGTGCTTAGAATGGAGTGAAAGGTGGGCAATCTGTTGTTTCTTTGTTTGTCGACGTGACGCCACAATCCAAGATGGTCGCAATGCCAAACCATAAGGGGGACAAAGAAATGAACCGAATTCGATACAATTGAGCTTTTGCGCTGGTATAGAAAAACATTCGGAATGGTTTGATACAGTCAAGTCTGAACAATCCTTCATTCACTGCTGCTCTCCTGTCTGTCGCAAAGCAATCGCGCAACCATGGCTAACAAAAATGGCGGTAACACCAAGAAGGATTCCGGGAGACGGATTCGCCGGCAAACAGAAGGAACAACAATTGCCTCTAGGCTTGGACAGCGTCCGGGCAGATCTCCAGCGAATCGTGAGATCAACCTCAGACTTAGACGAAGCCAGCGACTCCAAAGTATGCGACCAGAGCTGCTCTCAGCACCGCCTCCCACAGTAGAAGAAGGAGGAGGAGAAGAAGAAGAAGAAGAAGAAGCAGCAGAGGAAGGCTATTCTGCGCAAAGTCAAGGGGAACAGACGGCAGCATCGACTAGTTCGCCTGATACATCTGCTCAAATATCCTCTGCTCACCGTGAGCCCTCTAGGGCCCGAAGGCCAATTCCTCCAGATTGGAAACCACCATTAGCCATTGGCGAATCTCTTGGGGATAATCTGAGTCGCCTGGAAGAAGCAGAGCGGTCAGTTCTTCAGTGGGAAGCTATTGTCGAAAATGCTCGGATAAGTCAGCCGTTAGCAGACTTATCTGGTCTCGAACAACAACTGAACAAAGCCAGACATATATTCTCACAGATGGAAAATACCGATGAAAACTTGATGCCCGTGTAAGTCAGCCCCTCGAAGGGCTATGGTGACATACGTGCTGACCTTGCAGTGATGAGCTAGAGACAACCAAACGACAACGGATTCAACAACGAATAAGTCTTTTGAAAGCATCACTCGAGAGAAGTGAGTGTCCAGTTGGCGATATCAACATACGCGCTGCCATTCAGGCGTATGAGTCTGGGCGTATTAAGTGCTGGGACAAGTGGGCGCTTCTGTATGCTGGCAACGTGGTAGACTTCTGTCCTTCATACGAGTCTTTTACCCTTGATCGAGATGAGAGGCTCGATCGATATCACAGCATGTACGGTGACGGCTGGCTGTGGTATGAGGCACCTTTAGCACCAAAGGGTAACTACCAACCCGAACAGTTAATGGCCGCCACTTGGGCCCAGCCTTCCGGGTCTTGGGGCGTCCTAGCGGACTACCATGCTCATGCGTGGTCTATCCACATGGGCTTCCAGCGTGTGAAGGGATTTCACAGCCGCTTTGCCACAAGGCTGAATGATCCTAAGCGTAGGAGTACTGGAAAAGTCCTGCCATATGAGACGAGAATGAGAGAACGTGGCACGCCTGAGAAAGGGACTTGCTTCGTCGAAGATGACAATACGGCGCCCCGAGTATGCTTCTTTATGCAGCTCGACAGTGGCGCCACTCATCCTTCTCTGCACAAGACCGATATAGCCTATCTGGCTATCGACAGCAAGACGTACCCGGCGCAAACTCACACAACAGTTGTAACTGCAAGTTCAACCACAGTTGCGGCGTTGTATGAGATACGCGTTGACATCTGCCGACATAATGGGGAGTCACTGGTGGGTGAAGAGCCAGTCTTTCCAAACGCTCGTCGACAAGTTGGTGGGATCGTACCAGTCATGGTATTAGTTGACTCAACAGAGGACCAAAGCAAACCATTGGGCGAATGGTATAAAGAGGCTTTGAAGAATGGCGAGGATGTCTCTGAGGAGGCTATCGCCGCACGTTATAAGGGTCAAGATGAATGCCGCCTGTCTGGAATGCTTCCGTTTCAAGTGTGCTACTTCTCTGGAGCTCCTGGAGCACCAACCTTCTGGTTTGGAGAAGACCGGCGCGATGTACTCGGAGCGGATCGCATGCCAGGTCATCAACGATGGGAACGGCATAAGGAACCCTATATCGTAGAGCCTCCGGCCGAGTTCGAGAATTTGGATCGCCCAACGGTAATATTTGAACACCAGGGCAACGGCATAAGACTTCTTGACAGGGACTCTAAGGAAGACAAGAGCACAAGCATATTGAGCATTGAGAAACAAGTGGCCCTTAAAGCGGGGGAAACGTCGCAGAAAAGAACCTTGCCAGGCAAGGACAGCTCAATCAAGTCAGCATCGGTAAAGAGGAGGAAGAAACCGTAATTTATAAACTACCTAGGTAGATGAGCTGCACTATTGATTTGCGAAAACAAGGAGGTTGTGTTTGAGAGTTGCTGAGCATTGATAAGGAGTTTTGATAAGGAGTTTCAGCAACAGTCATATTGCGCTGGATTATTTTCAAGAATGAGATTTATGATGGTGAGAACGAGCATTTCTCGAGTCCATGTGAAAAATGATAGATCGAAGTTGTAGTACCCAAGATGGAACTCGAGATATCTTGATGGGGTCTCCAGCCACAAGTGGCTCCTACATCCATGCCGATCTTGATCTACGACAGCGGGGATAAACAGGGCTTATTCCCGCCCGCCACGATCTTTGATAGAAAGTCAATGCTTGGCAGGAATGAAAGCATTTGTCCATTGATTGATATAGTGAATATCAACATTCAGAGAAACTCATGTCGTATGAGGTGGAGGATGTTGCATATATCTCGGTACAATATCTTGTAAGACGTTAGTCAATGGCGAAAACGAGACTCGGTTACACGCAGGTAATATTCATCCATGAAAAGAATGGAACTAGCGATCACATGGATCCGATGGCCCAATCCAATGACAGCATCTTCATACTGTACCTTTCTACTAAGCGGGTGCTGCAGCAACGACCGTGCAGCTTAAGAGCATTAAGAGTTGGTCGACGAGCTAATTAAGAATAACTCTATTAAGCCAAGACATTGTCTATATCGATGTCTTAGTCGATCAATATCGAATATCCAAGTATTTATGTTGTCTTGATATACGAATATCATTCATTTCGCTCTCATCATCGCCGCCTCCACATATTGTCTGGGCAGTCAGCCTTAAGTCTTCAAGACTGCCTTGCCGCGTGAGATGAATGGATTGCCATCAAATGTTCTGATTTGGCAAAGGCGCTTTTGAATGCTGACAGGACCCTGAACCTGGTAAATTGATTACACGTCGAAAAGGGAAGAGGAAACGCAAGCGCTTAGCATTAGGGCCTTTTACAGACGGGCTGGGGGTTTTATTGTTTCGGTGAAAAACCAATACTTCTGCCACTGTTTTTTCTTTGACGTTTCTCTCGTTTCGTTTCCGCGAAGACCGCTGAGAGGGTTGCATCTTTCAGCTTCAGCTCCGATTTCCTTCCTTTTACCTGCATAAACTCCACTCTGCACTCCACGTTTAGGCTGAGCCTCCAGTGTCTTCCATCCCATCCCATGCCATTCCCATCCGACCCGTAACTACCTATCCATATCTCTTTGGATCAGATTCTTCTTCCATTCTTTAGCTGCAAGCACTTCTGCTTATTGACCTGCTTCTTCCGGCTTGTGGTCCGATTCGAAGCTTGAACAACCCCCTCCCTGCATCCTCGGACGTCATCCTGGCTGGTGATGCTCTCGTCATTCTCAATAACATAGCGTCTTCCGATAATCTTCAACTCACTGCGCTTCGAATTATTGACCTGAGCGTTGCTTGTTGCCCCCACCTAACTAGACCTTGGCAACATTAACGCATTCCTCATAGACCCGCACTCTGTGAATATTACAACACCTCCAGTAACTGGAGAGAGTAAAACGATATCCTTGCTTTAGTGGGAGCTGAAGGCTGTAGCCTAGGACCCAACACGAGCAACCACGGTCTGTCTTTCGCACGCAGCTACTGGTCTCGTCGCCAAGGCTCCATAAGCTTTCCCCTCCACCAAACTACCTACAATCGACGCCTAGCAACTCTTGGATTCATGAACACCACTACTTCGCCAATTTCCCGGCATTTACGCTCAATTCTGGCATCGCAACTCTCTACATATTCTGGCTCTGGCGTAGCCCGACGTTTTCGTCGCCATCGGGGCTCAGCCAGCCGCCTCCTCCGCTCCCGATCCCGCTTCGTCGCCGTCATCTCCCCCCACTCGACACCGCCGCTCTAGGTACCGTTCCTCACTAGGATACTCGGCTCACAGGGCCTCACAAACCTTAAGCCTGACGCTGCATCAACAAACACACGATCATGTCGGGCCCTGCGAGCGTGAGGGTCTCGGGTCCTCCAAACAGTAGCTTTCTCGTGGGCTACCCTGGTATCTCTGCGACTCTGGTACGTCAATTTCAGCCTCAGCTCGTCTTTGCTTACGCCCTCATCCTTACCTCACCAGTTCAAGTGCGCCGGACCTCGTTATGCTGACATTGCTGGTTTCTGTAGCCGCGCATCGAAGGAAAAGTCGAAATTCGCCCTGGCCAGGGTTTTTCCATGCCCGTACCTGTCTCCCTCGTTCGAATATGTCTTCAGCGCCGAGAAACAATACATCCCGATGCCGATAGCATTGCGAAACGACATCTAGGCGCCCCCCGCCGCGAGACCACGGATCTGGTCGGAAAAGAGCAGCTTCTCTTTCGCTGCTCATCGGGAAAAGAGGCTGAGAGGATCATTGCTATGGATCTACCATTCGTTCTGTTTATTCCCTTTGGTCGCGGCGGCGAAGAATCGAATCGGCGTATACCTCCAGCGTCCCTCCAACTACCCAGCCGAACCGCCGAAACATACTACGAACTCGTCGTTACTGTTCAGCAAGGCCACAGCAACCAGTACAAGTACACCTTTCCCATACCTTTGCAACGCTATGATACACTTTCTACATTTGGAATGTATAACAAGCCCGAATCCAAATTGGTCACCAACGATAATATCGTACACCTCGGCATCAATCTACCACGGTGGAGCTACGGCCCCAAGGATCCCATCACAGTATATATCAAACTGTCGCCAAACCTCGACTGGCTAAGTAAAGCCAAACGTGTCACAATTGAAAAGATTACCTTGACTGTCGAGGAGGAGATCACTTTCAACCCAGAAGGTGATGAACCTACGAAGAAGATCAACAGGGTCACGAAACAGACCCAACCGGTTAAGACAAAGATGCCAGAGGCGGGTTACGCCACGAATATCGGGCTGGATTTTCCATCCAAGGATCTGAGAGATCCGGACGGCGTTGTCAGGCGGGGGAAGCCTCAATTTCCTCTTTACGAAGTCACATCATTTACCACGACTTCTACCCTTTACAAAATCGAGTTCTACTTGGTTATTAAGGTATGCGCCCTTTGGGTTTCCATGCCTCGTCTGCGCTAACAGTCCAAGGTCAATCTTAGTGGTGCTCGAGATGTAATGATACGACAACCGATTGTCATCTGCCCCTTAGATCAACAGGCCTGTAAGGAAGAGATGGATGCTATAGAACAAGCGGCCAAAGACGCCTCTCACGTCGATCCGGCCAACCCGATGCTTCCAGCGCCGACTGTTATTCTCGCCAACGACCGCGACTCATTACGAGCGTTGGGCCTATGCATGGTCGGAGGCCAGAAGAAGCCATTCATTGAATGATAAACTAGGAGGTCCAGGGATGGTTTTTAAGAACCTTTTTGCCATGCGCCACGCTCACCCGAAGACGGCAGGACGCCGTTGCGCCAATGAGCCGCAACTGAAGCCGCGTCGGGAGTATATCTCCCATGCCAGATCTAGCGTAAGGGCACAACGGTAGAGAAACAGGTCGCACGACGGCATAAGAAAGGATCTGGCAATAACGGAACTGAGCTATCGAGGTTTCCCTCCAGTTGAAGTATACCCAGGGGTGTTTGCATTTTGGGGAAACTGGCGAACAAGGGATAGGGCTCTTATAATAACGGGCATAGTTCATGGCGTTCCGGGGGGCGCTTCGGGGAAAGGAATGAGCACAGGCAGTGGGCAAGTGCACGATGTAAATGTTCTACACGTTGTAGTGATATGAATGAAATATAGTGAATCTTATGAAGCCACGAGTCTTGCAGGCTGATCTAGTGTTTGAGTAAAGTACATGAGGAGCTGAAGCCGGCCTGAAGGAGATTATACCAAGGGAAACACTTCCAAAAAAAACAATTACAAACAATGGGAGATCATTGTATTCGAGAAAACAATAGAAGACTTGAGAGGTTTGACCTCAAGCATGATACTGTGGAAACAAGCAGCACATTATTCAGATCCTCAATTATGGCCGATAAAAACAAATCAGGATACAAAACATTTGAGCGAAGACAGAAACAACAAAAATTGAATCGCTATTTTGCTAACTGGAGGGTTCGAACCTCCGCGGTTTCCCACTGCGGGTTTGGTTTCTGATGAGAACCTAAACACAGCGCCTTAACCACTCGGCCAAGTTAGCGATGATGATTCGTTGGTTGTTAGAAATGAATGCGTTGCCAGAATATATACTACCACAACTTTGGTGGGGTCAGAAAATATTATCATCGGAGCTCATAGCTTTGCATAAAATTATCTTTCAACATCAATTCACGCCAATCGACCAAATATCATTCTCGACGCCTCCGAAGCACTTTCCGACAGTATTTCACGCGATTTCAATATCATCTAAAGCTTAGGAAAGCTCTTTCGCCATATAATCGCCATGCCTTTTGACGATGACGATAATCCCAATACCTTAGCACAACCAGCTAAAGGCACCAGTGGTGCTGCTGCAGAAGATATTGATGATGACGCGCCGGACGTTAAGCTCTTCCTATCCATGTTCGACAAGAATGGTGTATCAAGCAAAGCTATTCGTAAAGGCGAGAAGGACTTCGAGTCTCATGGCACCCGTGCACAGGATAGTCTTCTCGAAGCGAGTCGCACTGTCTTGGATAATGTTCTAGGCTACACCAGGATACACCGCGAAGATTCATGGGTTCGAGGATGGTGTTTTCCTGACTGGTGGGCCAAGGTAGAGGAAGCTGGTGAGAAGGAGGGCTTATGGCTACGTGACAGAGTTGTCATGGTTGAGCATGAGCGCGGAACATGGCAGAAAGATATTGGAAGGGCGGTACCTGCACACAAGGAGCGCTTGGGTACGGGGAAACTCTGGCTTTTGCCTGAAGAGGCTATTTTCCTCATCGAGAGAGGGACCATGGATCTCTGGTGGCCAAATTTAGAACTGGAGGACATCCTACCCGACGCCGATGGAAAACCGAAGACGGATATGGGACCTGACAACTATGATGCCGGACTGCC